ATCGATTGCATTTAAAAGTTGAACAAGCTTTTGACCAAATCGATTGCATTTACAAGTTAGCACAATATTTGTTTAGAGTAGTAATAAGTTATTTTAATATACATTATGAGTTTTGTTAATTTCATTCTTGAAGACTGAAATTAAGTAATTATAAATAAAAAAATATGAAAAAATATATAATTATTATATTAAAATTATAATTAATAAATTTTTATTATTATTAACTGCTTAAATTAACAAAATTTATAAATTATAAAATAATAATGACTTCATTAAAATAAAGTTAAATTAATTTTGTAATTTAGTTTCAAATAATTCTAACCTCATTTTTAAGAGTTGTTCTACAAAGATTATATTTTTACTACAAAATTACAATGTCATTACTAAGAAAAAAACCAAATGTGACTTAATTTCTAAACATTAATTTAATTTTAAAATTTTTTAATGTGTTTAAATAATATTTTTTTATATTTTTATTCAAAATATTTGTTTAACTTGAAACAAACATTGTATTCAATAATTCATTAATCAGACACTTTTCTAGTCTTATTCACAATACACTAACAACTATAATAATTTACTCTAAATTTAAATATATTAAACAGTTCATTAATTGTGAAAACAATCTAAAATTAATTTGTGGGCAATTGGATTAATAAAAAATATTAAAAAATAAATAATCACATTATTTGAAAGAAAAAAACTTAATTTAAGATGCATGAAAATCTAAATTAAAAGCATTACTTTCTAACTTACAAAATTAACTATACAGAACAAAATAAAAGAATAAGAAATTGTAAAAAAGCCCATTAAAAATTTAAATATTTCCAAAACATTGTTTCACTGAAGAAAAATGAAAGAAAAGAAAAAAAAAAGTCTTTTATTTTGAGAGACTATAGGTATTTATAAGACAGCTCAGTTGCACACAGGTTTTTGGCGTGTCCAGAACGGAGTCTCCACCTTCCACCCCCACGCACAAGTACCCACAATACTGATTCTGGTATTGATCCTAATTCACGTACCCTTCCCACATAGTCATGCAAACATGGCAAAATGTTTTTTTTTTTTCAAGCATATTTCTTCAAATGTTGCCACACTTCCGTCTCTCATGAAGTTTGATCTCAACACAACTCCTCGAATTCCAAGCATTTGCTTTGCAAATGCCCTTTAAAGCAATGAACAAGAGTAAGCAACAAATGAATAAAAAAACTAGTAAACAAATAACCAAAAATAAATAAAAATACAAAACACAAACTAATATATATATATATATATATATATATATATATATATATATATATATACACGTGTATACACACTAAAACCTCTTCTCAGAGATCCAAAAATAAAAAAAGTCCATATATAATAAAGGCCAAATATCAAAAGGAGCCCTATTAGATAAGAGGGATATACATTTTAAGGCCTAATTTAGTCAATTTATTCGGTACTTTGATTAAGTTTTTTTATAAATATTACTAAATCTAGCAAATTTAATATTTTTAAGTAAAAGCTTAATATCTTGAATCAAATAATACAAATGATTGTTATAATTCAAAATTATTAAAACTAAATAATATGCAATTTCTTTTTAAACTACTTTCAATACAAATGAGTAGAATGACTTTCTAAATAACCAGTTGCACTCCATAATAAATGACACGTAATTCAGCTATAAGAGGGGACTGGACATAAAAAATGTTGTAGAATCCAACAATAAAGTGTCCTATGTAATTTTGAATGAGACATCCATAACCAGCTAAACTATGATTGTATGAAACAAATTCACCAATATTAATCTTCAACTATTTGGGAGGACGAGTCCTTTCTAATCAAGCAAAAGTAGGGGATGTTGCTATTATTACTCACATAAGAAGTTTTGCCAAATACAAATTTATACTTATTTCTAACAACATGAATTCAAAGACCAGGCGGATAAATAATTATTCTCCAACACAATTTTATTAGATAAGGAGAGTCAAGTTCATGAAGCCTATTTCACCTTCAATTTTAAGTCTACAAACTTTATCCTAACTAAACTGTGAATTTGTACCTTTAAGAGAACTTTACTCACTTATAAAAAATACATAAATTTACAAATAAGATATAATTTTATGTTACTAAATACAATTATTATTTTCATAATAGTAATACATTTTTGTATATAAAAAACACATGCTCTAAAAAAATAACTAATTATTCTTTTAGTAAAAAAAAAAAAAGCAGCATGTGTACATAAATTGTAAATTAAACAAATCATCGTGATTATGGTAATAAATTAACTTTCCTATCATTATATATTTTTAAAAATATAAATTAAATTAAATTCTAAAACCATATATAATTATCATAATAATCTTTAGAGGAATTGCGTTTTAATAATTTATTATTCTATATCTAAAAACACACAATATGCTAAATATTTATTATAAATTACATAACTATATTAATAACATTAAATATCAAAATTTTAATAAAAAAATATTTATTTATTTGATTATATACCTTAGTCACGGGTTGAAAGAATAAAAAAATCAATACCAGCCTCTATGATCTCCTGGTTAACTACACATTCGCTATAGCACAAGTGCGTTTGGCAAATTAACCATCGCTGTTTCAAATTTTCTTTTGTTGATCAATTGTTATCTAACTTGTCTCAACTAGCATGCTTAACTAAAGTAGGAAGACAGTGGGTGTGAAGTAGAAGCTAAGGTGTATGGCAAATGAAGGGAAAGGTGACAACACTGAAACACAAATCCAAATAACTCATCAAACCTATACAAAATGACTATCCCTCAATTCATCTTAACTATTTATTGTTTAAATTTGTAGTCATTGGTCTATACATTGTTCATGGGTGCATAAAAGATCTCATTATGCAAGATGCGGTGTACTTTTTTGCTGTAATGTTTTTAAAAATTTTTAGATTAAAGACTTATTTTTGTTCATTTATTTGTTATCTAATGATAAACTAAAGTTACTGTAATAAAAAACACGTTAAATACATGACATGATTTTTTTATTAGTTATATATTAATCAATCTACTAACAATGTCATTTATCTTAAAGTCGTCGATAGTAGTTAATTCAGTATAAATATCATGCTTAGATATATTTAAAAAGTTATTAATACGTCAACAAAAATACTTCGAATAAAATTAATTCACACATTCTCTCTCTCTCTCTCTCTCTATATATATATATATATATAATTTAGATTGATGTAAATTTATATCCCCGTTTAATATTTTAAAAAATAAATTTTACTAAAATCAATTATACCTCGCTTAAAATGTTATGGACTTAATAACTCGTGATGTTATGTATATACATTGTTGGTATTGTCACTGACTTTTTTATAACTACACTGCGCATTAATCAAGAGATACACTTTTCAAAAGGAAACAATTTTGCTCAAATAAAAAAAATCAAATTTAATCAGTCTAGTTATTTTTAGAATTTTAATATTTTTTATGTTTATATAATAATGTTTTGATTTTTATATTTTAATAAAATTTAAAAATTAATCTTTACATGTAAAAATTTTATAAAACAGTTTCTGTATGTACATTTATTTTTAATTTAGAGTAAACAACGTTAAATAAATAAAGAATTAAGTTAAAAATAAATATAATATGATAATTGATTTATAAATTTTTTATATATAAGAATTAACTTACAAAATTTTATATATAGAGACTAATTTATAAATTTGAGTCAAAAATATTTTTATAAATTTACATACACATTTAATTTGTATATTAATTTTGCGATTCACTTGTATTCTTTCTTTACTTCTATCTCTAATTCTACTATTTTTATTACGTAAACTTTAATGGAGTCTAAAATCTCATTTTCTTTTAGCTTCCCTCCTCTAAAACTTAATTAACTCTTAAATAATATTCACTAAATTCTTTTATCTTTTTAGTCACTTCACCATTTTTACCCCTGCTCTCATCCATACTCACATTTACACCACTTCCCCAAAACTTGATCCTTTATCAAAATTTTCTTCATCTTCAAATGCACTTTCATTGTGTTGCTAACAACAAAATTACCATTAGATTCATCTATGCTTTTATTCATTCCTTCAATATCATTAAAATCAATATACAAACAAAAAATACATCATAAATTTATAAATTAGTCTTTACATATAAAATTTTATAAATTAATATTTACATGTAAAAAATTTGTAAATAATTTTTTATAATATATTTATTCTCAATTTAGTCTCTTACTTTCTTAAAAGTAGAGAATAAATTAAAAATAAATATACATATGATAATTTATTTATTAATTTTTATATATAAGAATTAGTTTACAATTTTGAGTCAAATATAGAAACTAAAATATTATTTAAATTTAATTTTTTAATATAAAACTTAAATTCTAAAACTATCTTAAATAAAGTAAAAGATAAATTACTCAAACTAACTCACTCTTAGTGATTAAATAAAGTTTTAATTTTATTGATAAAATAATTATACTTTTTAAATAAACATTAAGAAATATAATTTATTTATTAACTTTATAATACAAGTGAAAAATAACGCACGTTTTTTTTATAATTATAGAGAAATAAAATAAAGCTAAAAAAAAAACAGAAAAAAATCAATTTAATTATACATGAAATTTCATTTAACAAGTTTGACAATGTTGATTAACTAATTGAATAATGTCATAAAATGAAATTCACTTACATAGATGACATATTTATTCGATCCAAATAGCAATAATTTAAAACCAAATAAAAAGTAAAAATAAAAAGCATAAAAATGACTAATTACTAATCAATGGCAACAATAGCTCGCATATGCTGCGGAGTGCAGAACGAGAGTTTAATCAGAAGGATGACACTTACGTTGAAGTCTTCAAGATGGACGGCAGAGATGTTCCCAACACGAGAACGAAAGCCATTGGTTGGAACAACCAATAACCGAAATGCAATTGGTCCACGTCAGCATGAATGACATGTTCGAGCGTAAAGCTTTGGGTTGACGAAAAGACCTGGTTTCGGTAGAGTCGGAGCAAGCACGCTAGCCATCACTCGCCACACTACATAAAAGGCTCGGTGCCTCGCGCCATCTAGATCCCGAAAACCAATTGCACTTCTAACTTCACCATTCCAATAGCAATCAAATCGTGAACGTTTTACGTTACAATAACAAGAAGAAAAAGCGAGAGAGACAGATAGAGAGAGAGACAGCTATGGCTGGCTCGTGGGCACGCCGTTCTCTGGTTGTTCTAGCCATCATTTCCTTCGGTAATTTTTCATCGCCTTGTAGATCTGATTATGTTTTCTACCTTTTGCTGCTTTTGTTTTTAGTTTAAATGTTAAAGTGAAAAAATGCAACTAGATCTCGCTTTCGTCGAACCTTTTTGGATCCGTTCTGGTGATTTTTTATTGTGTTACGTAACGTTAGATCGGTGAGATCTTAAGACGTAGTCGTTTGGGATTTTATGAATCGTGCTGTGGATTAGTAATACATTTTGGTGACGTTCTTTGCTAAGTTGTTATTACCAGGATCTTACACGCATGTGTAATTAGTAACATGCTTTTATCTGCGTCTGAGAATTTCATCAACCGTAATTAGTTTCGTTCGTGTCTGAGGGAGTGTTTTGTTGGTTTTGTTTTAGGTTTCTATGTTTGTTAATATCGATTCCTTTTTCACTGTAAAGCTGAGTGATTCGTATTGGCCACTGGAAGGAGGTTTTGTTCCGTTGTGTTGCTTAGGGTTTTTGCTGTCATTGCACGCGTGGCAACATATTGGCGTTTTCATATCTGCGATTTGAATATGCCATCATAAAGTTTTCACCCGGGAAACAATTGAATACCGTTAGAAAAAATATAAAATAAAGAAGTGATATGTTAATTTCGTTGATGGATTTCACATCATTATTATATCCTTCAATTTGCTAATTAAATATCTTTCTTCATCGGGCTTGTCATTTGTCAAACATAAATATGTGCAACTGCAAGTGCAAAAATTAATTTCATTTGGTCGTAAATAAGTATTTGTGCAACTAACATTGAGAAAATTCACTATAGGATGTCTATTTGCAATTTCCATTGCGAAAGAGGAAGCCACCAAGTTGGGGACGGTCATCGGGATTGATCTTGGAACAACCTATTCCTGTGTTGGTGTTTACAAGAATGGCCATGTTGAAATCATAGCCAATGACCAAGGTAACCGTATCACCCCCTCATGGGTTGCTTTCACGGATAGTGAGAGACTGATTGGGGAGGCTGCAAAGAATCAGGCAGCTGTCAACCCTGAAAGGACCATCTTTGATGTTAAGAGACTTATTGGAAGAAAGTAAGGCATCCTTGGGTTGTTGATTTATGCCAATTTGATTTGAAGGGAATAAATAAAGTTGACTGACTGAATGACATGAATCCTTTTACAGGTTTGAAGATAAGGAAGTACAAAGGGACATGAAGCTTGTTCCTTATAAGATTGTTAACAAGGATGGAAAGCCTTACATACAAGTAAAAATTAAGGATGGTGAGACCAAGGTGTTCAGCCCTGAGGAAATCAGTGCCATGGTTCTGGTTAAGATGAAGGAAACTGCGGAAGCATTCCTTGGGAAGAAAATACATGATGCTGTGGTCACTGTCCCTGGTAACTGGAACAATCACAACTTATTTGTCCTAGATTGTTTTCTTCATGATTTTGTCTTTATTCTAATTTCTCACAATTTCCTATCAAATGTACAGCATACTTCAATGATGCTCAGAGGCAGGCCACCAAGGATGCTGGTGTCATTGCCGGTCTGAATGTTGCTAGGATTATCAATGAACCCACTGCTGCTGCCATTGCATATGGATTGGACAAGAAAGGTGGAGAGAAGAACATTCTTGTCTTTGATCTTGGCGGTGGGACATTCGATGTCAGTATCTTGACAATTGATAATGGTGTTTTCGAGGTTCTTGCTACAAATGGAGATACTCATCTTGGAGGTCAGTACTTTATCTACCTATCTGTGATATAAGAAAATGAACTTATATAAAAGAAAAAAAATATTCTTTCTATAAAATTTTCCTTCTGCTGCTAATGCCTTCTATTTCTTCCCTTTACCAGGTGAGGACTTTGATCAGAGAATAATGGAGTACTTCATTAAATTGATCAAGAAAAAGCATGGAAAGGATATTAGCAAGGACAACAGAGCTCTTGGCAAGCTGAGGAGAGAGAGTGAGCGTGCAAAGAGAGCTCTGAGCAGCCAGCACCAGGTCCGCGTGGAAATTGAATCACTTTTTGATGGTGTTGATTTCTCTGAGCCACTCACCCGAGCTCGGTTTGAGGAGTTGAACAACGACCTGTTCCGTAAGACAATGGGACCTGTGAAGAAGGCAATGGAAGATGCTGGACTACAAAAGAATCAAATTGATGAAATTGTTCTTGTTGGTGGAAGCACAAGGATTCCAAAGGTACAGCAGCTTTTGAAGGACTACTTTGACGGAAAGGAGCCAAACAAGGGTGTCAACCCCGATGAAGCAGTTGCCTATGGTGCAGCAGTGCAAGGAAGCATTTTGAGTGGAGAGGGTGGTGAAGAAACCAAAGGTACCATAGTCTTTACTATCTTATTTTTCATTACAGTGGCCCGAATTTATAAATATTATTAATGCAAGTAGATTGCCAAGCCAAGCATTACACTTTCTTAATGTTATGTGGCACTCTGTATCCCAGATATCCTTCTCCTTGATGTGGCTCCCCTCACCCTTGGAATTGAAACCGTTGGTGGAGTGATGACAAAGTTGATTCCTAGAAATACTGTTATCCCTACCAAGAAATCTCAGGTTTTCACCACCTACCAGGATCAGCAGACTACCGTCTCCATTCAGGTATGGTGCCATTTTTCAAGTGCACTTAAATTGCATGCGTGACAAAGTTTGACTTTTTTCTTCTAAATTGAAAACGCATTACCTGATAATGAACTTTAACGGAGTTGACTTGAATTGGATGCTTTTTTTAATACGTAGGTGTTCGAAGGAGAAAGGAGTCTCACAAAGGATTGCCGGCTGCTTGGGAAATTTGATCTGTCTGGCATTCCACCTGCTCCAAGGTTTGTTTCCTGCTTTCTTGAAGTCTTCTGTAATTTTTTCTTAATTGACGTTCGTTATTAATTGGTAAATTTTTGCGGTAATTGGAACAGGGGTACTCCTCAAATTGAAGTGACCTTCGAAGTCGATGCCAATGGCATCCTAAATGTTAAAGCAGAAGATAAAGGCACTGGTAAATCAGAAAAGATCACCATTACAAATGAAAAGGGACGTCTTAGCCAGGAGGAAATTGAGCGAATGGTTCGTGAAGCAGAGGAGTTTGCCGAGGAAGACAAGAAAGTTAAGGAGAGGATTGATGCACGCAACAGTCTGGAAACTTACGTCTACAACATGAAAAACCAGATCAGCGACAAAGACAAGCTTGCTGACAAGTTGGAGTCTGATGAAAAGGAGAAAATTGAGACCGCAGTGAAAGAAGCATTGGAATGGCTGGATGACAACCAGAGTGTGGAAAAAGAAGAATATGAGGAGAAGCTCAAAGAAGTTGAGGCCGTTTGTAATCCAATTATCACTGCTGTTTATCAAAGGTCGGGTGGTGCCCCAGGCGGTCCATCAGGCGAGGGCGAGGACGAGGACGATTCTCACGATGAGCTCTAGAGATGTTTGCATGGATTTCACCGGTGCCGCAAACGCAGGAGCTAGATATGTTGAGATGAAGTAGGTTAGCCGGAGTATGTTAATTTTTCTGATAGGTGGGAATTAAGAATTTCCCCTGCGCTTGCTTTTTGGTGGCAACAATACTTGCAAATTTACTTGTACTTTTTTTATTTTTTGACTAGTTTTACAACTTCTTCAGCTGTATTTGCCTGGTTTCACTCCCTTTCTCTTTCTTTTTTTTTTTTTTTGTGGTCCTGCACTTCCATTCCATAATGCTCGTCTTGTCCGAGCGACTCTTTAGACTAGAGAGTAACGTTAGTTGTTCAAGGAAAAGTGTTATAAAGCTCTAGCACGAACCGCTAACATTATGAATTTGATTTTATTTAGTTGCGATACACCCATCACGATATTTGGTAATCAAGTACTATAAGCCTGAGCTCCTCGTGCATCATTAATGCCCTTCAAGATTGATTGTCACTTGCTATTTAAGTTGTAAAACAATTGCTAAAATTCACATATCCGAGTCTCATAAATTTTTCCTTTCTTTACCAAGTTCATGTTCTTTCACTATTTTTTCCAAATTAACATTTTTTTTCAACAATTTTTTAATACTTTTTTTCAACAAATCTACTTTTACTTCTAACCTCACCGAGTTATCTCTCTACTATCTAAATTTCAAATAAAGATGTCAAAATAAAAAATCGATCTAAGCTAACCTGCAAAAGATCAACTTGATTTAGTTTGAATTTGCTATTACATTTAAACTGAATAAAAGCAAATAGCATATTTTAATGTTCAGCTTGAATATTTTTTGTTTTAAACTTAACCCAAACTTAATCACGAATATCCCAAACAATTTTGAACAGTAATTTGTTTATATTTAAAATAATACAATTTTATAATTACGCAAGTGTCACATTACTTTAAAATAATACACAAGAATATCAAGCCACGATATCATTTATTTAGAAAATGCATAAAAAATTATCAGGTAATACATTGAATTTTTTTACGTTTATTTATTTATTTTTAAATATGATATTTTTTAAAATAATTGTTTTGCCATACTTTCAATTAAAAAAAAATCGTCATCTCTTTTTGCGTCATCTTCCTATTTCTAATGCGGCAAACATGATTGACTGAGTTTTTGACACTGACATAAACCATAAAAGATGGTATGAATGGTAGAATGAATTTCATTACCGACATTAGTACTGTAAAAATGTGGAATCTATATCTTTGTCTGGACCATATTTGCAGTCCTGCCTATGGAAATGAATAGTTTATTTCTTTTATTTTCTTGGGGAAAGGGTTGCTTTTAATTAGAATCCAACATTGGGATTGCCTGAACCAGCTGCAGCAACTCCCATTCCACCAACACCATGTGATGTAGCGGCCACTGTCTCATGGTTTCCTGTTTCTAGAACATCTTTAACATCCAACTCATGTACAAGTTCATCAATTTTCCGAAATTGATATGGCCATCTTGCATTATAGAGAAACTGGCGAAGATCAAACCTATTATCCTCTGGTGAATAACTCTGCAAGTTGAGTGAAACATTAAATTTTATTTCATTAGCCAACAAAAATATAAGAATGAAACAAAATCCTTGAAACATCAAGAACTACCCAGCAGATTTCAACGCTGATTTCACATCATAATAACTACATACCTCAGCATGGTAGGAAGGTGTCAAGACAGTCATTTTGTGTCGATTGATAGAATAATACTTGAAGAAGTATTTTACTTTTTCAGCCACTTGTGATGGAGTCAATCTTGCACCCCATCTGTAGCATAGATTCTGCAACAGAAATTCATAGAAACAACAGGTTTATGGCTGAACAATGAGATGAACAACATTGAATTACAAAATTCTATTCAGATTGCTATGCTAACTATGGATGCCAAAAGTTTCTTTTCTTTCCATTGAGTTCATCATGCCAAGTAAAGCAATTATTCTTTCAGCTAGGCTTTCCATATCAATTGGGAAATGAATCTAACAGGAGAGATACATGGTATGAATTTTTTCTGGCGATGCTGTAACTTACATACTGTGCTTTGTTTTGTTTTTCATTAGCTGCCCTCCTAAAGCAAACCATGATATCTTTTGACTTTTCGTTGTAGATCGATAGCTTTATTATTATATGAATATAACAAGATAAATAAGACAGGATGGAGAAGCATGAATTAAACCTGGAACATGGAAACTGGACCGCAACGGAAAATTTTACGTAGTCTTCCATAAACTGATAGTTCTTCATAAGTCATTCCCATATCAACTTCATCAAGCTGTTCAACAAAGAATGAGTTAATTGATTATACATTTTTTACTACTTGATTATAAACAATTTACTAATGCATATGGATAGAACCCAAGTGCAGAAAAAGAAAGGAAAAGAAAAGTCAAATACCAACAAGCAAAAACTAAAAGAGCACTGCTGAAGAGAGAATAAACGAACATACTAGTTCCTAGATTTGACCTAGACCATCTGACCACGTAAACAAACATAATTAAGTTAAGCATGTATACACATTGTGAACACTTCCCAGTTATGACACACATGGATCACAGATTGCCTGTAAGTGTCTGGATGGGTAGAAGTTCAGTACAAGGAGAAAACTGCACATGTTGATAATTTAACCATCCCAATTCCACCCAACTTGAGCAGTAAAAAAATAGTTATTATGCAGTAAATATGTAGTTAAGGTTTAAGAGAATCCATATTGCTTTTATATATGGTGTTCATAATATTTTAACACCGTCATAAAGACCATACCTTTTCGGCACTTATATTTTCATTGGATTGAGTTCATTTTTATTGATGCACACAATGAAAGAACTAAAGTAGTTTCACTAAACATATGCGCTTAATGGTTTTTTATCTATGAAAGTGTTACTTGGATTTATTGATATGCCTTCTCTTGCCCTGCTTTGAGACAAATTTTTAAGTGCAAGGACACCCTGGTAAGAGGCGTTAAGGTTTTCCTTCATATTTCTTTCTAAAAGGAATTCTGCAAACATTTTATGAACCAAAATTCCCTATACTTTAAAAAAAAAAAACGAAATAAGGACAGAAAAGGCAGTAAGAGAGAAATCCAGAGGCCAACTAGCAAAACTGCCTTCTCTTTTGGAAACCCCTCATCTTTTTTCTAATTATTATTGCTGGGCCTTCTCCTCCTTAAGCTTGGACATCACATGATCACATTTCAAAAAGATAAGTTCCTCTTTGATTTTCTCAACTTCTCTAGTTTTGCATTGGTTACCATGGATCTTTATTAAAGGTTGGATTAAAAATTGGTCCCTGGAGTTTTCTATTGTTTCTGTTGTATTCTGAGATTCAAGAGATTATAGAATATTTCTGCCGTGCAAACCAATCATCTAGCAATCAGATTCTTTGGATAAAGTGAAGATTTTTTTGTAACAATGTTATGAGCTGAGATTTAAGCTCTTGCTCTAGAAAAATTGTCTTTTGTAATGCATTTTGCAATTTAAACAATGCAACTATAAGAGTTCATCAAGTGATTCAAGATCAGTACTGAAAGATGTAACAGAACAGAATAGTACCTGACTGTAATTAGAACGTATAGGCTCCAGTTCAGCTGTGGGTGGAGCAGCTTCAATATCTGCCAAAGATGAATAACCAAGATTGATGGCTGCCCATCGCAAGAATGCCCGAAGGTCTTGCTTACTTATACTACCAATAGGATTTATATCTGCTGAGCTGCAATCATACTGTAAGGAGAGTTAATGTTTGATATGTAGGGCGTAATGGATTACAAACATGAGAAAATAATTGAGAACCAAAGGGTCTGTTTAAGAAAATATTTTTCGTTTCCATTTCCTGTTTTCACTAATAATTACAAAACCACCTTGTTTTCACTTTATTTCCTGTTTTCAAAGATTCAAATGATTTATAATTTTTTCAGCAAATCTTTGTAAATGGGAAACAAAGTGAAAACAAGTTGACATATTTCTAATAAGTGAAAACAAGAAATGGAAACAAAACATATTCTTAAACCAAAAAGTCCCTAAAGAAAGGCATAATCCAAATCAAAATAGTGATACCTTCGTCAAGTAACCACGTAACCCTTCATCCACATTGGAGCTCCCTAACACAAGATAAAACCCAGGTTTGTTGTGAACCCAAGGCAAAAGTGACGCTAACATGAAAGCTAGCACCATTCTGATTCGAGCTTGAATGTTCTGCAAGCTTAAATTCTCAACATTGGATCCACCATCTACCTGTGGAAAGAAATTCGCACAAAGAAGTTATAAGGCTACAACAAAATAAAAACATAAAATATATAAGCTGCTTTCAATCTTTAGTTCAGAAAAAAAGTGAATTCCCCATAAAGAAACTAGAGATATTTTGCTAGTCCAACACCATGATATGGAGGTCTATTACAAATTTACAATACCTACATATTCCTGTGGCAAAACCCAAATGTGTGACAACATTGTATAGATTATGTGTGAGGTTCTAGTACTTGTCATTTATGATTGAAAGAATTCTCAAGTTCATGCTTCATTTACCTTATACCGTGGGCACTTTCCTGTAAGTGTTTGGAATAATGACAAAAGAGCAGATACAACTCCATCAATGCTAACATCAAGGTGCCATGAACCAATTTCATCAGCCAGCACCTTGGCTCGGGACCTTGTCATTTCCGAACTGCAATGAGAGATTTTTTAGAGCTCCATCTCATCTGATATGAGTATTTTCTAGTTGAATTTGAGTATTATATTTGGACGTATCACTTTGTTTGATATAAACTGATTGACACGACAAAATGATTTCTTAACATAGAAAAACAAATCCTAGCATTCTAAGATGGAGTTCCAAGGTCTTCAGTCTTCTAGTATGTATGCTTTACACTGCACAATAGTGTAACTATTCTGATTGCTAGAAGTTCCAAAAAGCACTGTCTTAACCTCATAATAAGATCACATAGGATTTAATAAATATTAGGATTAGGTCAGGGTATGCAGGATTATAGGAAGCCACAAACATTTTGAGATACAAGTTTTAGAAAAGGAAATTCAAAAGCACACTGGTCAAACTTATCCAATATAATTATTATGTTTTAACAACAAAAACAATCAGCTTTGTTCATTGCCACAATTATATAAATAATTGGGGATGTTAAAAACAAAGCGGAAAAACATAAATTAGAGTCAAAACTAGAAAAAAGGTCCCAAAAAAAATGAGGGACACCACTTCTTATTCAAATATTGGTGGAGTATTAGTGGAATAAAGCACATAAAAACTTAGGGAGATACAGCCGAAAAGTGTAAAAAACTAAAAGCGGAAACCTATCACTTACCTGTTTTCAGATCCCATAAACACAGTATAGAATATTCGTTTAGCAAATTCTCTGCTGTCTGTTGGATACTGTCCATCTTTATAGTTTCCAATTCGTATTGCATCAGCTTTAACTTGCTCATCCCCATTTGCGATTTCTGCAGGCATATATGAATTATTAACTGATGATATCCAAACTACAACGATCACTGTTTATCTCACCTTTACAACATTGGAAAAATCAAAAAGAAAAAGGAAAAAAGAGGTCTATAATCTGTCTCAATTTTATTATTGACCTTGACCATGATTTGACAGTTTAGTTTCTATGCAAGAAGTTGGACACTTAGAAGATATAAAAGGACACTATGCTCTATATTCAAGTAATTTTGCAGGATTTTCATAAAAAGGAAGTGCATATATACAGGTCTGCTCTCCAATTAATTCAGTTGCCAATCAATTATATATGACCTCTTAACCTACAATCTTTATACAGTTCATACTTATCAGAAGCTAAACTAGTGGTCACTTGAACCATTTCTTTATTTCTAAATTAGCACTCCTATGATGGGTATACTGTTTATACACAATAATGTAGCTCCTACTACTGTCAAAAATTTATCTGATATTAACTGCACACTTGTCGTTGTATTTAAAATCACCTTTCACAACCAGCTGGCACATGCACCCAACAATTGCAGCGACAGAAGAACTGTCTGCCCCACCAGAAAGAGGAAGCAGAAAACCAGATGCTCCACTTCTTCTTAGGTAGTCCCACAACCAGCAACCAGGTCCAAATGCTATTTCCTCCTCAGGAGTGTGGTATTTTATCTGTAATG